TTTGACAAAAAATGGACATCGAATTTCATGCGCAACATGCCTGGCTTGCAGTCCAAATTCCACAGAGCATTATTTTCGAATTCTTTAGTATCGCCTTTCATAACGAGAGATCTACCTTTCACGACTCAACATACGAACTTCGAAATATAAATCTAAATATTCTTGCTTATATATTGCAATAATTTCCATTTAGTTTTGGGGAAATGTAAAAATGTTCCCTCAAACTTACGTGCTCGTCCAAATTCCGCGAACAGCAGAAATTGTTGCATTATTAGATATAATGCCTCTCGATTGGTTGTATACTTTATCTTATATAAATACTGTCGTTAATTAAAGGTGTCGGACATACTATTGAAGTTGCATTGCTCAGAAATTTAATTTAATATGGTAGCATTAGGTTTGGGACTTTGGGTGATATACTGATATTAAAGACCGAATACAAATAGCTTCCTATATTTATAGCAGAAATGCATTACCCTAACTGGGGTAGTTCCTCGGGTAGAGGAGAAGTGATCACGTGATCGGCTAGTTGTGTTGTTTGTGGCGTCAGATATAACCAAATCCCTATCTCTAAGCCTAATCGTTACCCTAACCCTTACCCTAACCCTTACCCTAACCTCAAAACTAATCGCTATAACTAACTGATGACGTAGTCTGTGATGCAAATTCTTCTACCCGAGGATGTACCCAATAACGGCCTTTTAATGGAGTTCTATTATAAATTCTATCATCTCAATAGGGTTGCGCTAGTATAATATCAAGAAATAGGGGTTTCTTGTTTCATAATTTGTGTACATCAGGATTTTGTACGCAAGCGTACGGATTTGTACGCAAGCATGGTCTTTTATTGACAAAAAATACAATGGAATGCCTCTCGAGTAGATACATTTTAAAATTAATACACTTACGGTTCAAATGTCAGATGAAACGCGGACTATAATTTATACGTTTTATATTATACAAACAATATTTCGCATTTTAACAGAGATACTGAACTACATAGACATTATAATTAGCAGAGTACGTCTATAAAAAAATGCTTCTTTATAATAAATATATTAGCAAGTTCATAGCAACCGCGCTTAGAATTTCATTATTGTTAAAATATTATTCAATGTACACACCTGCCATTTATATACGAATATTTTTATGTATACTGTTATTACAAGGTATTGCAATTGCATAATGCCCTGGATTATCTACTCGAAAATAAACAAATTCTGTCGGTTTATGAGTGTCGCCTCATCGGACATCTAAAGGAACTGCTCTGATGTTTATATTTCACTATACATTAGGATTTGGTGCGCTGCATCTTTTAATACACATGTAGTACGGTATATTGTTTTAAAAGAACAGATTATCTTTGGCATATTGCCACTGGATTTTATAGCTACTATATATGATAAACAAATATGTCGGTTCCTAAGTGCTGGACTTCCTTGCAACTGCGTATAGATCTTAGATTTTTGTAACACTGATTATGCAACATTAAAATAGTATACGGTTATTGTACTTGGCGTGAACGAGAGAAGCGCGCTATTTAACACCAACATGTTAATAGACTATTAAGCTCTTACCTTGTTAATTTAACTGTACGATCTCTAGACTGTCACCTCTGTGGCAGAACTGATAAATCCTGCGCGCGGAATATGCAAATCAGCACGGACGCGCAATCCAATTTGAATAGACTATAGAACCCAAATGTGAGTATGGTACTTGTTGTGGGTTTGAATAGAACAGTAAGCCACTCAGTTCATAGGTCGCCTTTTAAGCTTGTGGCAAGACTGAATCAAATGTCAGATGGCAGGTGCCTGGTGGCAGATGCCTAGCTGGAATTTTCGCGCATGCCATTACCAACCACAAGAGGTCGATGATTGACAAGCTTTGAATGATAAATAAGTCTGGGATCGGCACACTTTTTCCCAACGATTGAATTGCTCAAAATACACCAACTTTAGACCCCCATAAAAGGAAAAGTTTCTCTTTTTTTCTATTTGAAGATATTTATACGTGGTAATTCGGTCTATTTTTATGCATTAAAATTTGAATTTTTCCCTGTTTAATACGAGTGGTTTGAAATGTCCCTGTCGCTCCCCGCTCGGGACGGCACGTTTTGTGTTGATAATGATAACAAGTGAATGAGCTTGTTTGGAGATAAATTTGATTTTGTGTTGATAATTTTAAAAATAATGTTTAACTTAATTCGCAAGAATGACTCGTGCCCAGACTACAAAGTTAATGCGCTGTTACACTATGCACAGCAACTTGTCTCGAACTGGTCAACGTTACGAAAAATGATTTCACCAAGCGACATAGCCAGCAGTCGCTTTATTTCTTGAAGGTTTTGAGGATACTTTTATTTCAGGATATTTTAAAGGACATTGGCAATAAAAAATTAGTTTGTTTCATTCAAAAGAACTCTTAAAATTATATATTAAACTCTATAAGTCTATTACCGATTTAATAATATGAAATTGGTCGAAGACCCGTACTCAGGAAATAAAATAACAACATAAAACGCTCTCTGAGTTTCCAGCGATATACATACCCTTTTCTAGATATATACCTAATAATAATAAGCGAACGAACGAATGAATTCCTTCCACTCGTGAGCTCATTTACCATTGTCACAAGGGTAAATGAGCTCACGAGTGGAAGGAATTCATTCGTTCGTTCGCTTATTATTATTAGGTATATATCTAGAAAAGGGTATGTATATCGCTGGAAACTCAGAGAGCGTTTTATGTTGTTATTACCGATTTGTCACTATGTTGCTTTGTTCTCGAAATTTTATTATCTGTCCGCCATTTTGGACGAATTCTTGACCTCGTTAACTATGGTTTTTATGACGTCAGGTGCTGGGTTAACCATATAAAACTACTCTAAAATGACCGAGTAACAATCCAAAATTGTTTGAAATGTTTTTAATCATTTCAGACACCAACAAGAAACGAAGTTTTGGATCGAATTGACCTCTTACTCTCAAGATAAAAAATTAGCGTGACCCCTCTCTTGACGTAACATGCATATCCTTAATAATCCAAGATGGCGAAAACAGCTCACTTTGAGTTTCAGTCGAAACATTTTGCTGAACTAAGCAAGATATAAAAAAATCTGTAATAGAGTTTAATATACATAAAGTAATATAGTTTTAACAGTTCTTTCAAATGAACTACGGGAGTGTTCATTATTTATACCCGGGGTTGGTACCGAAGAGAAATGGGTTGGGTAAGCCATTTTTCTGGGGTATGAAGGGTTGGGTAAATATTTTTTGAACAAAGCCTATGGTTGGGTAAATTATTTTCAATACAAACCTTCAATTGAACAAAATATGAAAATAATTTATTTAAATTAACAAAATGGGTCATTCCAGGAAATATCCATTCATTTTTCACAAAGAAAACTAAACTCCAACTCCCCATCCCCTCTGATTACAACAACGAGGTATGGTAGGAGTGCAGGAACTTGGAGGCTTGGGAACATAATATGAACTTGTGAAGGTACCGATGATTATATTTGACATTCAGTTAGTGCACCAAGTACTGTTTATACTATAGTGGCCTAGCTTGTATAATAACTATGTGTATATGTAAAATATAATACTTGTATAATTTTGAAATTGGGTTGGGTAAAATAAAAATCCAAGCCATGCAATAGTTGGGTAGGGGAAAAAATGGTTGACCAAAAGGGTGGGTGCATGGTTGTTTTTTTCTCTTCGATTAGTTTCTCTTCGGTACCAACCCCGGGTACAAATAATGAACACTCCCTAAACTCATTTTTTATTGCCAATGTCCTTTAAGAAATGAATGCGAAAAAAAGAGCGGAGAAAAACGGCGATCCGCTCTTTCTACTTACTACGTTAGCCTGAAAACCAACAATTTCCTGTCTCATGTTTAAAACGACCGGATTTTGCAGGCTATATAGAGAGTTCCATTAATCTCTACGCTTACAATATCATAAAAAAGTTCTTAAGGCAAATTTTGCATGTGGGAATCTTTCGGGCTCCAATAGTGCGAGTGACGACGAGGCCCTTGGTGACCAAATCTGTTGATTTATCTCCATGTGGCATGTTTGAGTATATCGCCGGGAAAGACCTGTACAGAGACCACAATGAGTTCATTTATATCCATTCAAGTTCATACGTCACAAAACTGAATCTTTTGGGGTCATTTCATTGTAATACCCAAATACCATTCGGTTTCATTCTAAATTCAGCACTTTAATTTTCGACGGTTAAGCTAGGTTTACACGCTGCGATTTGTCGGGCCGATTTTGCTCGCTGTATGTAAATATTAACCTGTCGTGAGCACTCGCGTCGGCGCCTTGCGATTCACAAAGTCGGGAGAAAAATCTGTTGCAAAACACTGATTTTTCTTCCGTTATAAAGTTGTTGAAAACTTTTCGCACGCAGAAAACTATAACTAAACAGACGAGAGGGCGGACAGCTTCAATGGACCTTTCCCCTTATAACTAAAATTTCGATCTAAACAAAAATTTCATCACGGCTTGAAAGAGCATCACAAAATTAGTAATATTCCAAAGTTTTGTTGCAAAATGTTGTAAAATGCGGATAATATAGCCTTGCGAAGTTTGCCGTTTTTCAGTCATTTTGTATTACAAACGGGAAATTGACATCCGATTCGGGTGTTCGGGCTGCAATTTCCCGTTTGTAATGCAAAATGACTGAAAATTGCAAACTTCGCAAGGCTCTATTTTCCTCATTTTACAACATTTCGCAACGAAACTTTGGAATATTACTAATTTTGTGATGCTCTTTCAAGTTGTGATGAAATTTTTGTCTAGACTTGCCTAGATCAAAATTTTGGTTATAAGGCTAGGGGAAAGGTCTACGTTTAAATCGCTAAATGTCGAAGAAGGGGCAACGTTTATTTGCCAAAATCGGCCCGACAAATCGCAGCGTGTAAACGTACCTTTACGGTATAACCCTCGACTGTTACTTTTATATTAGTCCATGCGAAAAATTTGTTAAATAACCCATGGCGTGAAATTGAATAATTTTATTTTTTCTAACACTATGCATTCTGGTAAGTATTAAGATAGAATACATTTATCTTATCCACTATGACTGGTATAATAAATAGAGAACCTAATTGACCAATCCAGACCTATATTTACAAGTTCCAATTTTTCAAATCCGGCTCCAACAGACAGTAATTTATAGTGATGTTTCTCAAAAGGAATAAGAGGAAAAGTCGGTGGTATGTCTCGAAATCGCATGGATAGGACTTTTAATTTTCAAAAACCATCTATTTTTGAAGCCAGAATATAGTCATTTTTACAAAATCAAATATATTTAGGTGTTCAAATTAGCTATGGTGTATAGTCGATGTCTAAATAGTGTATATTTGATCTGAAAAAAATAACTTGCAAACCTCTTCAGTGAACGAGTTTAGAACGTTAGGGCTATAATTTATGGGACTTTAGGTGGCCATTTTGGAATTTCCACGAGTTATTCACTGGGAAATTTAAGGGAGGCTAATTACTATTTAGAGAATAAAAGCCCTTTTTCTCTTATAACCACAGTAAACAGTAAAGCAAATCTTTACTCAAAAACTTGTAAACTTTAGTCAAAAAAGTTGCTAAAAACGTTTGAGACACTGCATAAGTTTTTGAGTCAAAATACTCAGGGATTTTTTGAAATGCAGAATCTATATATAACCTCTTCCAAGCAATAACAGAATTTTTTGTAGGTAACTCCTGAGCAGACGCACCCATCCAGTTTTAATTTTGAGATAAGATGTAATTTATGCTTGGTAAATGGTTTAGCTGTATACAGCTATTTCAATTAACGTTGTCCTCGAGCAAAGCGGAAAAGTCGAATACGAACGTGCAAGGTTTGCTGGGAATCGCTAAAAAAATAATGAATTTTTTAACGATTCCCAGCAAGCCTTTCGCGCTCGTATTCGACTTTTCCGCCTTGCTCAGGGCATACTATATTAACTATGCTCAGGGACAACATTAATTGAAATGGCTACATATTATAATTTAGTCAAAAGGGTGTCGGATTTGAAAAATCGTTACGTGTCGAGGGCCTTACTCTAATTACTGACTTAATTTAATTAAAAGAATACTGCGGTCTATTTTATATCATATATCAAGATAGATAATAAATTTTTCAATTTTCTGTGCGGTAGTGATTACATAGAAGTTTTGTCTGACACATTTCTACGTTCTAAGCTACACCCACAAGTGCACATTCGACTGCATGCAAATTCTGATTCGGTGACTCGAAATACATGTCTTACTGTTATTTATACAGACTTTTTTCCTGTGGATATTGGGTTTAGAGTTTGTCCATCCTTTGTGGCGAACTGGATCGAGCAATTTCCTGGAAATTAACAGCCTTTACAATCATTCGATGACAACGGAGGCAATTTTTCGCTTCCGAAAAATTTGCCCAAGGACCTGCTCATATGAGCCCGCGGTTTGCAAGGAAGTGAGTGAGACAAATTATTTCTGTGTTTATATGACTGCTTTATCCCACCTAATATTATATATTATAGGTCAAAATCGGCAAAAAATGTCCATCCCAGTCAGATGGATAAAGCCTTCGTATGGAAAATTTTATCACACTTGACTGAGATCCCACCCAGTGCAAGGTAAGATCTCACCTATTCTTGGGTTTCACTACGGCATTATGCAGTGAATCTGACGGGGGCTCACAACCTCAAATGCATTGATGCTTATACTGCACTGGAGTGAGAACGTGATACGAAATTCCATGTATTTGTCACCAAACACAAGGCTAATACATAAAACGAGCAATCGACTCACTCTGATAATTGTTGAACCCCCGTCACTTTTGTGACGTCATATGAAACCCAAGAATAGCCGGGCTGGCTGGCTGGCTGGTTCTCATATGAATAGAAATTGCTTTCCCAATTATCTGGGCTCACATGAACAGGTCCTAATTTCGATGGCTGAAATTGCTCGATCCAGCCACATAAACAATATATATCTCGTGGGTTGCAAACCCAATTATCATTCATGACATACTGTGATACCCCCAGACATTCATATTATACTGTACATCTCCCTGGAAAATCCCTCGTTCTGCAACCAGATCATGAACTTTCTGACCCAGATTGTGAATTATTCTCCATATTCGCCAGTTTCTTTGTCCTCGTCATTTTTTCCAATTCAGCACTGGCGTCTTGTCTTACAGTTGACTTGCCGACTTGAGCGTTCGATTTCTTGCTCAGTAAACTGTTAAAGAAATTCGCGAGGACACCCTCGCCTGGGCCAGGTGCGCCAACCTTCACCCCTTCCTATGAAAGCAAAGTAAAGAGTCAGTGTAATTTGTTTGAAGACCACGTTAATTTACTTAAAATAGGGTAGTAAAATAAATTCCGGTATTAGGCTATTGTACTATATCGATACGTCGACAATTATACTTTTTTAACTTGAAGTCATTATAATTTAACTTTAATCTAGTAATTTATAACTTTTTACTACTAATGTAATTGGGTTTTTTTAATATTTTCTTTCAGTAATTAGTCATTTAACTGTTTATTTTTAGGCAATTGTATTTTGCAGGGTCCTTCTGAAAACCACTTTTGCAATGTATAGATTCCCTGGGTAAATACTGTTATAATTATAACAATAATAATAAATAATAATAAAGTGTTTAAATTTACGTCTTGTTTTAGTTCATATCTTGGATGTTCAAGGTGTTTTCATTTTTCGATTTTTATTTTATACTTTATATTTTTATTTTATACTTTTATATAAATAATTCAGTAAAAAATATCGATCAACCAAAAAATGTGTACTATTAAAAACACTGGTTAAAATTTTTCTGGTTAACCCAGAAATAACTCTTTTTGGGTTAACTTAATTTAAAGTGGTACTGTCATTAAAATTGTTTTAGAAGTTTGAAGATCCCGATCCGCCTTTCTGTTAATGTACCTGGTTGTCGTGAACTCACTAGTCTCTTCCTTACCTTTGACTTTATAGCACTTCCAGCACCACCAGCCGCTCTACCACTTGGAGAGATACGACTTGCGCCCGGAGAACTAGGTATTCTTGGTTTGGACATATCCTACCATGAAACACAAAATGAATATATTGAATTGTAGTACTCGTTTGTGCAGTATGATCAAGTTAATACTCGTGCTTGAATACTTGTACTAGATTTCTCTGGAGATACAGTCATAATGAACACGACCATTACGACCGGACGCCTTACCGTCATGCCAGGCGGCCTTGACAACCCAGTTGGTGGCGGATTCTTTAGCAAGGCTTGCTGGAAATAGCAAAGATGGAAAGCAGTGTGAAATAATGTACCAGTTCATTTCGTACCGAGGAGGAAAGTATAAAGTCACAGAGCAAACTTTACTGGCGCAGACAACAAATCTCAGAGTGAGGTTGTAATAAATTGTAAGTTTTTGAAACCTGTTGTTTTTCCAAGAATGATTGCTCTTCTTCGCATTCCAATTCTTTGTCTTGAATTGGCTAAAAAGCGGAAAAATTGATCAAAGCATAAACAATTTGGTTACGAATCTATATTCATCGACTTATTACTGAAGTATTTCAGACACAGATATTATACACTACTGAAGTATTTCAGATCCAGATATTATAGCATAGCTTGGTTCGGTATATCATTCAAATGTAAAAGAATGCGACTCAACGTACTCGTCTGTATTCGGGTTTTTTTATATGATCCTCAAACGCATCTTCTGGTTTGATATGATTCATGTGTTCGTCCAAAATATTTATCTTTGATACACTATCCCAACCACTTGGTCTGAAAACATAAATCAAACATTGCGTGATATTTTTATGTAAAAATACCTAGTCTACCCTAATGCTGTTTTGGGATATAGATTCATGTCCCACTGTTTATGAGTTAGGCTCAGTGGTTTGGGTTAGAGCCCAGTGATCTCTATATACATCTGGAACAAGAACTTCAGTCATTCGGCCTATGAGAAAAGTGAAGCCAAGATGACGGCCATTGACATCCAATAGCTACGAAGGTTAGCTATGTGTAAAGTGCAAAGGAGCCAGATCGCTTAACAATGTAATAAGTTGTTGTTAGTCCTATATTATTGAACATGGACAGTATAGATTTTCGTTAATCGTTATTAGCCTTATTAGTTTTAGCTTGTTAAGTTGCTTTGAAAATTTGTTTTGTACAGTAATTTAATTCTTGTTTATATGGGATCGCCGTAATTGGGAAAACCTGTGGCGAATTCCCTGGCTCTATATGTTGTATTTAAATAGTAGCCGAATCTTATTAAATTATTAAATCATTAAATCAAGGTCGTAAACAGTTTTAATCCCAGCTAATACCAGTTTTTTTCTGGACCGTATCGCTAATCCAGTTATCAGTTTTTAAATAGAAGTTAAAATACGAAATTTCTGCACATTCCCTGCAGACAAAAACAATAGAAAGGGAATGAACTGACGTCCAACAGCTCCATCTTTGGCTTCACTTTTTGGACTCGAGTTTTCGCTCCAGATATATGGAGCTCGATGGCTAGAGTAAGCTTTAGAGTCACATTTTCTATCTCGTTTGCCAAAGCAATGCCACTCACATAAAAATAGACTCTCTATCAAGCACCGAAGCTGGTACTCTAAACGGAAATCCGTATATTCTGTGTAGGAGATACTTTTTTAACAAATTACAATTCTTTGATTCTTTAACAGATGTATAGACTAAACCAGCGCCATCTAGTATTGAAGGTCAAGGAACATACAATCTGTAGAAAATACTGGAAAAAACTTATCTTAGGTACTTAATAGCTCAATGGGTTGACAAGACACATTGGTCTTGATTGTTTGGTGTTAACCATTAATATGCAAGACTGTAAAATGGTCTGGCATTAGACAGAGTAAAATAATACAGCAGGGCGCATTTTGGTGCAATGCAACTTAAATATTTCATGAAGAAAACACAATAGAAATCATGACCGTGAAGGAGTTTGTATATCTGAACAAATTCCTGCTGATTTACCTAAATTTGTAAGCTCATTTTTCTCACCAAATATCGCGGTTCATGTCTTCATGGTTATTGAAGAATATTAAAGTTTTCATCCAGACAGATCGCAACTACGCTATATATTACAGCATTCGTAAGATATACAAACACAAGCCTCATGCCAGATATTTACCAGATGTATACCATATACAATAAAACTCAGACATTCAAAAAGATATCAAGCACTTGCTACTTTGAAAAGGATACATTTTAAACAAAATCTTCTAATTTGTTGTTGTAAAAAATCAAAGTGCTCATTTTTATAATCCCGTTCTTTTTCTAAACTTAACATGGAATCTGTCTGCAAAAAAAGAAAGAATTTTTGAGCAAATGTTAGAAAACCAAAACAGCCATATGATCGTGCCATAATTCTCTAAAATTACAGTTCACCTAAAGTTGGAGTAACACGGGCAACAAAATTGCTGCAACTTGCAACAAAATCTGATTTCAACGCATGTTAAGTAGAAATGTTGACACATGTTGCCTCGTGATTTGTAATGTATGTGTATAAACATTTTCAATTAACATGCGTAGAAATCAGATTTTGTTGCAAGTTGCAGCAATTTTTTGCTCGTATTACTCCAGCTTAAAGGCCCGTTTATACTTGTAATTTTTGCTGCGATTTCTAGTGCAATTTTCTTCTTCTGACGAATGTGAACGAGTGGATTAGTTATGAATGTTCAGAAGAAGGTACATATACTCAGAACATTAATAGCTCATCTACTCGTTCACATGGATCAGAAGAACAAAATTGCACTAGAAATCGCAGGAAAAATTGAAAGTGTAAAAGGGCATTAATAGATTACCTTAGTACAAACAACAACTATAGGAAAACCAAGATTATCTGTTAAAACATTTGGATCTAATGGTAAAACCACATCATCTTCTTCACTGCCAATTTTCTTTCTCTCTTCGCCTTGTTCCGGGTCAACATATTCTTGGAATTGTTTTGTTACTAAAAACACATAACAATTAACAAATCTAAAACATTTTCTGTGTTGATATACAGTTATATCAACACGAGTGGAATTGGGAAAACGAGAAATTGTATGGAATGTGGAAAATTTCCTGTGTTGACATTGAGTTATATCAACACGGCTCTTAGCCAATCAGCGTTCAGAATTTACAAATGCTATATTATAGTCCAATATATCAATGTGTGTATTGTCAGGCAGGAGTATTAAGCACACATTCTCTGTTCAGGTGGGTGCACTCCTCAGCCTCTTTCACTATCGGTAGCGCAAGTTCGATAACAAAACGTCAAAAGTGCCATAAATCATGAAAATTTTTAGTATGCACTGTTTGATGTTGACTTTATACGTTCTGGACATGTGTTGCTGTTGTTGATCCAGTTGCAAGCAGCAGAGCAAACTGAACACAGCACAGGCCAACTGAACACAGCACAGGCCAACAGCATGCTGGGGTGTTGCCTCACTCATCTCCCTTCCAGTTCTAACTCACAAATTTGAAGTTGAATTACAATAAGATAAGTACACCTTATAAATTAATTTTATTTCTCAATTTAAGACAATACTCGCTAGCAATTATTTAGCAATTATTTGATGACTTTTAACGACTTTTTATTCTATAAATAGCCACAATGTGAGTTTGTTGTTTCTGATATTGAATTTGTGACCACGCCTAAATGTCAAAATTTGCTCTCAAAATTTTTGTGTAAGGTGGTCATGTATCAAATGAAATTGATGTAAAATTCTATTGCAAATCAAATACTATTTGCAAAACCAACTGACATAGTAGTCTCTCTTTATATATTACTGATCAGCATTTCATTTTCCAATTTTACAGACAATCTTGGGGAAAAGTGGAGGGAGGTGTTGCACAACCCCAAACTCCCCCACAAGGTATGCCCCTTATCATTCATGACCGACTTACTATTATGTTCCATTTCATTAAGCTCTTTTGGTGATAAATTTAATGAATGTATATGCTCCCTTAATACATGTACCCAGGAGTTCAGCGTATCCATAATCGTCCATGGTCTCGACATATCAATTATAAGTATAACCGTAACGTCTTTTGCTGATTTTTTTGTTATGGCAAACTTTAGAAGATTTTTATATCGAACATCACCATCCATTATCCAAACATTTAGCCTTGTGCTATCTAAACATACATAACATGAAAATGGTTAACCAGTACATAATAGGGCACACTTGGGCACATTGCAGCAAGAGATTTAGACAAAGTGCAAATACTGTATTTTCTTTTTCAAATACCAATTACGGATGTGGCATTTGTTAGTTGATAATATTTAGTCCTAGTAATTGATTAATTGTGCCACATCGGAAATTGTGCCACAATTCTGGGATTATTCATGCAACAATGTACCTGATACCGATTTTATAATGATATTGTAATGTAAGTCGACTGAGTAAAGGTGATGTCATTCATTTCATTTTTTTAATGATAGTTTCGAATGTAACACGTTACTGCAAACAAAGTTCATTAAAACCGTTCATAACGCACGCTTCATGCATTAATTGCTTCACACCTAACATACTACCATTTGCACAAGAGATTCGGCAGATTCAATTGGGGCTATGCTCTGTCTGCTCACCAATTGCTCCACACCTAACATACTACCATTTGCACAGGAGATTAGGCAGATTCAATTGGGGCTACGCTCTGTATGCTCACCAATCATCTGCTGTAAATTTGATGATGAAGTTATTAAGCTTAAACTAAACTATTTGTTTTTCAATTTTTTTCATAAAACAGTGGTTTCAGGTTGAGCATTTGTACATGCAACACGTATCAACATGCAATGTATATAATTTTTGAAGTGCATATTTTCTCAACAATTGGGTTCACACAATCGAAAATATAGATAATTCAACTGATTTCGATTGTCTACCGATAAGGCAAAAAATTGGCTCGATTCCAGTACCAAACTATTGTTCAATCACAATTTAGTACCACACAATCATAGACAGATGCTACTGATTTATGTTGTGCAAAAGTTCAACACAAACTGAAAATTTTGGTATACCAAAAAATTATGGCATATTGCAAACTCTTGGTATATCGGTTTCAGACAGCAACTGAAAAACTACAATATCCCAATATTCCATGGTCGGCTGAGGGTATTTTCCTATTTTGTAGGTCTATACATCATGTTGATGAACAAACCTCAAAATTTCTTGATAAGAATATCTGAAGGAGTATGTTCATGAGTATGTTCCATGTACATTTGGAGAGATCTGAGGAAAATTTGCATGGCACAACCAATTTTTTTGCATATTTACTTTTTGTATATTTACTATTTTTAATTTCAGAAATTGTCTAAAATTAGGAAGTTGTCCATTTACAAATGCCAATTGTTGGGCTTAAAATTCAATTCTCTGGGGCCAGCTGTGCATTACAATACAAAAACAAATTGCACTAAATATTAATACAGGCATTTAAAATATCGTCCAACTTGCAACAAAACACTCAGAACTCACGTAGACCAAGTATTTTGTTGCGAATTGGAAGAAATTTGCATAAAACATAACGTTTTAACGGCATGTTTTATTAACTCCATGTAAACATTGACCGACTGACAGTGCTGTTTTATAAATTTATACAAAAATGCTTCTCGGGGTACTTGAAAGCTTTTAGACACATTGAACAAGTACTCTAGTACACGCCCAGGCATATTTAAGGGGATAAATTATAGTAAAATGTACAGAAAGTACAAATAAAATACCATCTCTGTCTTCGTCGTATACATTAATATAGCTATATTCCATCGCATGACCTTTTTTTACTTCGGCTACACCAGTTTGTAGTTTTACAATCAAACTTGTCTTCCCCGTGCCATCATTTCCTACGAGACAACGCTAGTTAGTAACGAGAACACGTTGAATGCACGCAAGTTGAAGGTCATTAATCATACCTAACAACACCAAAGACTTGTTCGAAGGCAACTTTCGAGAAGCTGACGATGAAACATCGTTCAAAATGGCCGACCTAAACGAGGGATACAACAGTCAAGCATTTCACAACAAGGCACAGGTTTGAGGAATTTAAAACAGCCATCAATAGTACCATAAGTCTTCTTCCTCTTCGTCATGTTTGCTATTTTTGCGACCTTCGACATTACTCTCCGAATCCGCCATTTTGATTATTGACGAATTATTTTGATCGACGTCGCCCTTTGGCCGCGGAGATTAATGAAGGAAACTGGTGTGTAGTAATCCGACACTTTCCGATAAATCTTTGGATCGGAGTAATCGGAATACGTCGGAATTTCTGCCAAATTTTAAATTTGCTATTTTTTCTGGGGCAAAATTTATTACAAAATGTGCTTGAAGAAGTTTAAATTTCTGATCATTTGAAATGGGTTTTGTTAAAAACATCTTTAAGGATTTGGTACTGTATTTCGAGTCATTGTTTGAGAAAGCCAGAAAGGTATCAAGAAGAAATATATTATAGATTGATAAAAAGTTAAAAAACTATATTTAGTTTTAATATAATATCAACTTTGTATATAAAATTTGCTATATATATGAACAGCTTTTGTGTAAGTATGAACAGCTTTTGTGACAGCTTTTGCATGCGTGTAGAAGGGATATATTTGGTCTTACTTATGTATCATTTAGGGATGTGCCAGATACTGCTTTGCCGGATGGTATCATGGTACCAGATATATTAGTCTACCAGCGACCCCAAAATGCCGAGCTTTTTTTATGAACTTGTCTGGGGGGCAACTACAAAAAGGGACCATACTATACTGAGTGTGGAGATATGTTTGTTGGTGACAAAAAGTTTGGTGTGGTATCGTATGTACTGGTAGGGGGGTCTGGGGGTATTCTCCCCCAGAAAATTTTTTTTGTATTTTTCCACCCCTAGGACTGAAATTTGAGCATTTTCTGAAACAGATTTTTGGATATACAGTGTTACATTGTGCCTTGATAGACCGAATCTGATTAGTTAAGTACTTCTTGCATGGTATATGTTATACTACAACTGGGTCACTCAGCATTCTCGTACCCAGAGCCCTTCTTACGCGTGTTTGACCGAGCGCGACGATACCATAAAAATACCATAAAAACATGGTAAGAAAACAATATCCGGTGTTAGAACTAGCCAATCAGATGCCAGTTCGGATATGGATTTGGCCAGAGCCCCTCATCGCACCGCGCGTAAGAAGAGCTCTGGGTATGAGAATGGGTCACTCAGGGGATAGGCTTGTTAAACTTAGTGGACCCGACTCCCACGAGATGCTACCATGGACCCATGGTTGGTGCACAGCAGAGAAATTTTGAGTCTCTAGATCGTTGGAAATGACATTTTCAGAATCTTCTTTACCTCTTTGGCATTATGATTTGTGAGTTTATGCTGTTTGTGATTATAGAAATCAGAACAAAAGACATGGTATTTAAGTTCAAAAACTTT